TGTTTGCTCTAAATTCTTATAGGTGATAGGTGTATCAAGTATTAAAACTTTATTGATTTGATCAATTACGTATTTAGTTCCCGAAATATTATATCGGGGTCCATTGCGCATGCTAAAGGAAATAACATAGGCAGTTCTTCCCAATATTTTCTAAACTTTAATTCCATAGCCATTAAAATTTCACTAAAAGCAGGATAATTTTTATATTTATGAAATATTCTTGCAATTATATAAAAGAGTTCAAGCACCATACAGCTTATGGGATAATAAACGCCGAATAAAATCTTTGTGGTCTCATAAAAAGATGTCAAAAATCGTTTAACTTTCAAAGTTAAAATCCAATTGGATTCATTTAATATATCATCATCATCACTTCTAATATATCTATTATTATAAAAGTCAGTTATTAAATTTTCGAAATCTTCACATGATTTTAATAGCAAGTATGTAGAGTTCCATTTATGACCTACGTCGCTAACAAATGTTTTAGCAGTCATCACCCCTAGTTCGGTACAAAATTTTTCAAATGCTTGTTTTCTATTAGGGGAGATCGTAATATATACTATTGCATTTCTAATCCTTTGAAATTCATCATTTATATGTTTTAAATCATCTTGCACAATTAAATTCAAGATATGACACACACAACGAATATGAAACAAATACCCACCAAAATCAGGTTGAAGTATCCTACACAATTTATCGACGACTATCTTATTAAAACTAGCATTATCAAAAGTAAAAGATCGAATTTTACTCTCACAATGATATTCTCTAACAATACTGATAATAGCATTATATATATTATTAGCACTGTGAGGAAATTCAATAATTTTCTTATGCATGCACCAAAGTGGGTCTATATAGTGTGCGGTTGCAGTTATATATGCTCTTTTATTAACCACTTCCCATATATTAGAAGTTAAGGATATAACACTCCCATATTGTTGCAAATCCATAATTAATTGTTGTTTTGAATTATTGAAATAATTTATTGTATCGGCACGAAGAGTGTTTTGACTTATCCCAACGTACATTGGTTGTAGATATTCTTTCATGAACGAGACGAAGTGTTGGTTGTCTGCAATAGCCAGAGGCAACTCAGTGGCGGCAACAAATTTCACTATTCCGGTTCAAGTCTCATCCTCCGAATATACCCACGTGGATAGGGGTGAAGTTGTAGAACCGGCGCCTGGACTGCCAAATTGTAATTGTGTTTGACCAGCTGGAAGAAGTTCATGTCTGGCTGCACATGATTTGTAGTGGCGGTTGAGATGAGTGGTACCAATTCCTTTTTACCATGTCAATCTTTATTGGCAGTATTTGCATACTGCTTTAGATTCTGTAAGGCCATCAACGACTTTTCCCGTTGAAATCAACTTAAAGTGATCCCAACATTTTGCTTGTTTTTTGGCCTTTCGCTTTCCCATTGCATCTAGGATATTTAATTGCTGATCTTCATCTTCATGTTCCGCTTCGGGAACATTAATATCATCCAAATTAATTGGAGTGTGGCTTCCCTGGCCGTGAATGTGAACATCTTCAGGTATCGGTATATCATTTAAACCGACAAATTCATTTGGAAATTGACTTTGTGGCGTCCTAGGCGATTCTCCATGATGTGGCAATGGCTCACATCCTGTATCGAACAAGCTCTCAACAAATAAACGTTGATCCATTTCTGTGATTGTTCATGATGAAATCTTGACTAGATGAAAATGCAGTGAGATTGTGAGAATTGAGAATTGGATGAATTGAAATTGTAACTAATAAACTGTAAAAATTAAATTGATATTGTATATTTTGTAGTACAAGAGAGTAAAAATTCGATAATTGATATAATAAAATAGAGTTGAGAGAATTGTAATCTTGGAGGAGCAATTGATATGAAAAATTTTTTTTGAGCGAAGGGGATATTTATAGTAAAAAAAGGGGGGTGGGGAGTTCAGTGACCAGAACGGTCACTTTTGTGACCGTTTTGGTCACAGGCTCAACGAGCCCACGAGCGGCTCATGCTCGGGCTCGTGATTTTACGAGACGAGCCTGAGCCGCCCACAAGTCGCGAGCCGGCTCGACCCAATTGACATCCCTAAGTTTGGGAAAAGTCTGCTAATGTTTTAAAAGTTTGGGGGCTCTGCTGCAATTTTCCCTAAAACTTTAAATGACATATTTTATTAAGTCGATTAATAATATAGAATTTATAAGAAAAATTCTATTGAAAATAATGAATTCAAATAATTGCAATCTTAAAATCTTTTATTAATCAAATACATAATTATAGAACACTTTCATTATCGATAATATAGATATCTTGTTTTGAATTGATATTTTCCGATAAGAGTTTTAGACCAAAAGAAAGAAATAAGTGTGTGAGAACTAGTGATACCAAAAAAATTCCGTCAAACTTGAAACCCACGAGGTCTCGCCCTGAACAGGACAAAGATTACTAGCTTAATAGAGTATCTAGGTCGGGAACGAGGCAGGTACGGGTAACAAGGGTTCCACCCCCTCCCCCCGTTTAACTTCTTTTTTTTTTTTTTTTAATTGAACACTTTAAATGAAAAAAATCACGAAATTTCAATAATTCTAATAAAAGATGACAATTAAGATTATCAAAGAAATATGATAAACAATAAAAATCTTAATTTATCAAATATATTTCGATAATTTAACTTTTGTAAATAAATTAATTAATTCAAAATTTTAATAACTATATTATTATCCCAGTTTAATGAATGAATGCAATAAGATAAATTATCAAAAATTAAAAAATATATATAAGCTGGGCAAGGGCCCAGTCTTGCCCCTGACCTGACCTGCCCCGTCCCCCCTGTTTAAGGTGAGTGATGTTGCAAGAAATTACCTCGTAGGAGGCGAGGGAGGCTTCATCAGCTCGAACCCGTCCCTTTACCATCCTTAATAAGAACTTCCTTACTCTTCAATTCTCAATTATAATTTTTCTATCCATAATCCGTCATTCACAGATTACATCTTGAGTGTGTATTTATAAATTGTTTTCTTTACTATCTTACTTTCTCTAAGTAATTATTGAATTATTAATCAAAATTTTATTATTTTTATGATTATAGGAAATCTAAATGTGGTCTCTTTTGATCGAAATGATAGGCCAATCTTTTTTGTAGGGCAGAACAAGGATTTTATTATTATTATTATTATTTTTTGTTTATGATGAACTTTTTGGTAGTGTGAATTATGTAAATATTTATTTTATTGGATAATTAGCTTTGAATTTATTTCTACAAATACTCTACTTTTAGCCAAAATTTACTTGTATCCAATTATCCGATTCAGTAAGAAATTTTCTTTGTATGCTCAACTTGATTTTTTTATATTTTGTCTTTATGATATTCATTTATTAATGGACATATTTTTCTCTTTATTGTTTCAATTGTATAGTATGCGAATGTTAGTTTCAAGGAAGCTAAAATTATAATGTCACGTTTTCACTTGCAAGAAATTTATGTATGAGTTGTGAGTTTAAAAAGCAGTTTGGTGTTTATAGAAATTCACATTTTTTTTCCGATTAAACATTGGATAGGAGAAAATGTCATCAAAGATAGATCCGACTTTTGTATTTTGGTGGGTCTCTAAGATCCTTTTCGATGTCCTATGATAATTTTCTTGGATCACAAAATTTTTATTTCAATTCTCATTCTCAACCCATAACCAATATGAGCTCGAAGTTTCCTTCATACAATGGCCGGTACAAAGGTCACGATCTCGAGAGAATGAGTCTAAAATTAGATTCTCCCAAATTTTGAGTGGTCATAGTCTAAGAATTTTTCACTCTTATAAGTTTAATTCAATACAAATTTCCATAGAATATTTAACATTTTTTGAGTTATTAATTTTATTAATTATAACAATCTCCGTAAATTACATTCGCTTAGTATGGTTACCTTTAATTCATAGGAAAAATTTATTTATTTAAAAAAAAAAATTATGACTACTAATCATTAAGAAGGCTCTTGAATGCATAACCTCTCAACCTTTTTTTAATATTTGGGTTTGACACGAAACAATAGTTAAAAAAATAATTATGTAAATCATTTAATTGTATAGCTAAATAGTTAATGTTTTTGTCCCATCTCACAATGTCATCACATTAAAATTTTGTCTAATTCCTTCAATTTGAATGGAGCTTTATATATATATATATATATATATATCATCTTGCTTTTGACTTTCACGTGATTACTAGAGAAGTGATACATGTCTCTAATGATACAGAATCTAATCAGATTGAATTGAATCAAATATGTTTACTTGATTTTTATGCAAACCAAAGCAAGAGACTAAAGGTGTCCCTACTTTTGATAAATTAAATGAGGCATAACTTTTCATATTTTGTGATTTTGGATATATTTAATTAATATAAATTATGCATTGATTTTTTTATTCTAACATTCACATGTGTACATACTTTACTTTTTAAATTTAATTCGACATATTTTATATTAATTTGTAGTGTTACCATTTTACCCTTCTTATATTTGAATAAAATTAATTTTCCTAGTCAACTAACGGTCAAATGAACCATCCATTGGGACCTCTGTTGCTAGTTTCAAAGATTTGGGACCTCCGTTGACACAAATTAAAGGTTAGGGTAAAGTCTGTAAAAATGTGAAAAGTTAGAGACCGCTATTGCAATGTTTCCGTAGATTTGGCAATTTTTCATTGATTTTTGACGCAACAATGACAGAAAATGCTGTGAATTATTCAAAATCGAATGGGTTTGAAGAGGAACAAATGATACAATCTGGTTCTTCTTTGAGCTTTTGACTTCAAATTCAGCTAACAAGATATTTGGTCCGTCTCGATTTGGTCTAATACTACTTTATCTTAATTATTGCTCTTTAACATACAAATCATATTAATCGATTCACGTCTATACTGACTTAGTCCGACTAATTTCTGCTCATTCACCAAATCATTTGGTTTCAATTGATCAACAACATATGTAAATCATATATTTTGTACTGTTGCCTGTTGGCATTGCTATCTAGCTAAATGTACTAAATGCATAGCTGCGAAAATTACAACTTGATCCAAATTCTGTTATTTGTGTAACTTACACAAGTTGGACCTAAGAATTGCTGTAAAAGTAAACAAAACTGCCCGGTATTATTAACAAAAAGAAAGCAAAGGAAAAAAGAATATAAGCTAGCTACTTGGATTCAAATCAATGTCTCTTACTTCCCAACCATACGACGAGCTCGTTGATTGGCACCTTTCACTCGAGAATTTAGTTCATCCACATCATCTGAAAGGTGATCAAGAGCCTTGTTCTGCCTGTTCCACGCAGACTTAGTGTTAGCCATAATCCATCAACAGAAAAGTAAACTAATGCAACATGCATTAGACAATAGTGGACACTTTTATGGGTAAAAAAAAAAAGAAGTTAAAATCTTGTTGACTGTCAAATACGGTGTAATGCAATGCAATGCATATAAAGACGGATTACCTGTTAAGTTCAGATCCCATGCCAACAGCCATACCCTTCAAGTCACCCAATATATTGCTCAGATCTGAAAGTGCATCATCCTGCTTTGCCTTCTCAAACTGGTAACAAATCCATGTTAATAATTGCAAAAAAACTAGATAATGGAAATGTATATTGTATTATTGCTTGTCATACAATGTTATACGACAAACACATACCTCAACTTGCCGCATGACATTAGTTGGTTCGGGAGGAGGTGTACGAGAACCTTTAGGTGCACCACCCAAACCTAACTTTTCCCTTTGCTCTTTGCTAGCTCGCTTTCCTTTGTCATTATCATCTGCTAAACCAACGACTCATAAAAAATGACATCTCCAAATCGGCAGCCACATTATACTACGCAAAAGCATTATCTACTACCAAGTTTCAATAAGTAATGATTAATTTATGAAGACCTTAGGAAAGTAAAAGGGGAGCACAAAAGACCTTTTGAAGTTAGCGGCCCGGTGATGTTCCTTGTCTTCTTTGGTTTCCAAGGCTTCGAAAACATGCCCCCAAGGTTATTCAACAATTTCTCCCCCTAAAACCAAAACATATATTCCCATTGTCACTAGAGAAAAGCTGCTAAGGAAAAGAAGGAATGCATATGAGATTGAATAAGAACAGTAAGCGCATATTTGCTATGTTTGATTCGACTCTGCTAGAAAAGTCAAACTGACACGTTAGTATGACTCATACAATTAGGACTAGGTCTACTATCTTAATAAAATAGAGAAGAAACTATATTCGAAACAATCAAAATTACTTTGGAAACAATCAGATTTATCTCAATATAAATAGTTTGATAATGTAGAGCTCAATGGATCAACTTTCAAGAATCAAAATGCATAAAATAATTTGCAAGAAGATTATTAATCTAGGACATAATCATAACATATTTTGGTAGATTATTTTACCAGTTGGAAGTCAAATTCACACTTCATCTCCGAAGAATGTATACATATCAATTTTCATGCATAGAGACCTTGGGGTAGTCCTCTCATGTGCCATAAAAAGTTTTGCCACAAAAAAATTGAATATAAGATCAGCTGTACGTGAGTATACCCGGCTCAAGTCATGGTCCATATCTACAGCCATCTCGTGGGTCCTGTGTATTTGCTCCCCCTGGTGATGCAAGGTATCAAGGGTCCGAGTGGCATCCTGTCTAATATCCTCTGCAATCTTCACACAGTTGTTTACAGATTTAGTGGTCTCCTCAGCCTGCTTCACAGCATAACTCTCCAATTCTTGAACAGACATGGTTTCAAGATCCTTCTTTTGTTTGTTTTTAAAGGGTGGGCCTCTCCCAAAATAATCATCATCATCATCGTCGTCATCATAAAAATTGTTAGATTTTGAACTTGGAGTAACAAGTATTGGTTCAGAAGAAGTTCTTCTTGCAGGTGTAATTGTGTTTACCTTATCTGCTTCAGTATCAGAATCAAAAGGGTTTGAAGAGTTTTGTTTAGGAGGTTTATTTGCAGGTGATTTAAAAAAGCCAAACATTTTTGCAAAATTGGGTGGTGAGTTGAATACTTAAGTAAATCAAATTCCCTTCTAAATGGTACAAGTCCCTCGAGGATTGGATGGGTACAGAAATTCCAGAATACATAAAATAACCTGAATAAAACCCAGAAAATTCGTCAAGTTCTGGAATCAATAAACACTATTTAAGAACAATTAGTGTGGCATGCATATGAAAGAGAATTAAACCAAATTAGCATTTAAATCACATATTTCAAAATCAAATAAAAAGGAAAAAGTTACTCAAAAAGAAATATCTTAAAATATACTAATTAAGATATAATAAGACATAACCCACTCTCTTTTACTAATTCATTTTGCTCATCAGATATTTGGGATTTATAAATTAAACTAGCAATCCTTCTGAAATAAAGATTCATATATGAATAGAAAGAAATGATAAATAAACAGAAAAATAAATAGGGCTCACAAAATTAACACAATTTTAATGCAATTCCGTGTATAGATAACCCATAATATCAAACAAAATAATAATAATAATAATAAATGAACGCTCAATTCCTCGTACATTTCAAAAAATTAATAATTGCACTAGCTTGAGAATAGAGAAAAAGAATGTAAGTTAACCTTAAAATCAGTACCTGATTGAAGATTTACAAAAAGGCCTTGAGAACTTGTGTCAAAAGTTTCAAGAAATGCAACAGAGGAAGAAAATTAGCACATAAAATTTCTCCCCAATGCGGCGAGGAAAAAAAGGATATTTTGCCAAAAGGTTTTTTAAAAAAATGAGAAAATGATAATTTGTGAATGACGAGAAGAAGAAGATGGATTTTTTTTTGAAAGAATCAAATAAAGATTGAGAGGCACCGCGAAAAACCAGGTGGCTTCAGTTTTTTGACCGTTACCGATATTGCGCCGATCCATAAATGGCTGTTTTGGTAGAGTTCGAAAACTTGGGTCGTTCGGCCCACGTATAATGGACTCATTTAGGTTGGCGTTACGCTTATTTTGCATTCATATACTAGGAATATACTAGGAAGTGGAAATGACACAATCAGATTTTTTAAGTTAAAACTTCAAAATTCAGATTTAAGGCCCGTTTGATACTTTTTTTTTTTTTTTTTTCAAAATGTATTTTTCTCTCTTCTTTTCAACCACACATTCTTTATTAAAATAATATTACACGTAAATCAAAAACTTTTCCACATTCTTTAACCACACATTTTCTATCAATTTACCATTTTAAAATGCATTTTCATATGAAAATGAGTCTCAAACACTATCTAAAGTTTTTTTATACAAAATTCGATTGATAATATAATTTTTAAATGTTAATAATATTATTATAAAATTAAATAAATTTACAAATTCCATCATCTACCAAAACATTCACCCCACCCACCCTATCCCATACCCATACCACCTCCTCCACCCTAAACCTTAAATCATTTTAAACTTTCTTCTTTCTATCATTTCCATTCTCTCTTCTATATCTTATCTCTTCTCCAGTAATACACCACCTCCAACAACATGGCACCTTTGGTAACACAACACATGGCATTGTGCGAAGTGACATTGTACTCGCTACGCGCACCTTTGCGTGTGGCATCAGAGGCGTAGCCATCGCTTCTACAACTATAGCGTTGAACCCCTGCATGCTGATGTGCAACTCTGCTCAGCATCACGCTGCATCTCCTCGCACAACACTGCACCTCTTTGGGTAGAGTTGAGTAGTAACATGGTGGTTTTGCCTGTCACAGATGCGCGTCATGGCAATCTGAACTTTTATTTGGCTTAGCATTTGTGGATGAATGATTTTTATTTTTTCAGTTTTGAGTTTTAATTATATATTTATAAAAATTTGGGACTATTGTTGCAATTAGTTCTTTATCCTTTCATTTCATTTCATTTCATTTTGTTTTATTTGAATAGGAGTGTAAAATCTTTTTTTTTTTTATTGAAAAATTGGATGTAAATGATCTTCTGCACAAGAAAAGGTGAAATTGTATGACGTTTTATATAATGACATTAAAATGTAAGGATGTTTTGTGCCGTTTACCCATATAGTTAATATTCCGATTAGTTAGATTTAGGGTTCGTTTGATTGTAAAGATAGAATTTGGATGAAAAGAAAATGAATTTCAAGAAATTGAATTGCCTAGAAATTATTTTCCTGGAAATTGTAAATTATTGTGTTTGATTGATATAATTCTCTACGCGAAAAATGTTGAAATAAAAGTATTTTTGGTGTTCGTTTGGCATTATTTTACATGAAAACTATCAATTAAAATGATAGATTTTACTGTATTGGGGATAAAATTTATTTCCATTGCAAAAAAAAAATAAATAATAATAATAAAATTATCTATCTTTTGCTGTTCGTTTAATATGAAAATTTTCAATTTAAGGGAAATATTTTTTTACAATAATTCTTAGAATTTGTTTTCATTGCTAAAAAGATAAAAAAAAAAAAAAAATTGCTACAGTAATCCGGGAAAATGAATTCTCACCTTGGTGGAAAATGAATTCCAAATAAATTTTTTTCAATCAAACACCAAAAAAATGAAAAAATAAATTGCAATTCCATTTTCCATGGAATTTCTACCCTATCAATTATGGTTATATTATTATTTTTTTTTTTTTAAATAACTCGTACATCATCTTTGTGTAATTGAATCTTCGTTTGTGTTTAGTTTGAATAATGAAATATTTGGCATTGACTAGACAAATTTACAACTTCACATATGATGTTCCATTAAGGTGGACTACATCAATCAATTAAAGCTTGGCTTCTCCTTCGTAATTAGGGTTTACGTTTTATTAGATGAATTTATGTACTTTATTAAAATTGAAAGTATTTTAATATTTGTTTTCAACTAATAAAATTTGTATTACAAAGCATAATATAGTACATAAACAATAAACATAGGAGTTATTTGTTGGCACGATTTATATGGAAGAAGAACATTGATTTAAAAAATAACACAACGGAATATAAGCAATCCTCAATCCTCAATCCTCTCTTGTTGAACGAATTTAATAGAAGTTAATAAATCGAGCAATAACTAAAATAAATAATGTGTAAAATTAAGAACACAACTTTTTCATGTAGTTTAACAATGCGCCTATTGTTGAAAAAATAAATAAAAACCTAGACAATAAAAATTGTTACTTAACAATAACTGCTTCAATTTTGTTCATGAATACCAATCATGAAGCTTCCAACACCAAATCTTCTTTTGATATTCTTCAAAGTTTGAACTGCAATGTGTAAGTGGGCACCTCAAAGCAAAAATAAGAGGACCAAGAAACAAATTATGTTTCTTCTTCTCTATGAAATGGACTACTAAGGCTATTCCTTATGCCGACGCCGTGGTCCGCCCCCTAGCTCTATTTATAGAACTAGGGCTAGGATTTTGTTCCCAGTGCTACTCGACTTTAAATTATATTTTGATACTGTTTGGACATGTAGTCCTTTAACTCTTGTTATTACAAATGTGATTTATGTTCAAAATTTTTACCGAAACTACTAGAGGGATCGGACTTATATTATTCAAGCTACAATAATAATACCCAGGCAAGCCAATCCGAGTCTGCCCAATTTGATTGTTAGTTTTCGCTTGTGACTAAAGACAAGAAATTCTCACCTCTTAAAGTATCTAAAATCACATAAGCTAATTCCTTGCAATACATGTCCTCGCTGGTCATCTAGATGTATTATCCGATTTGGATCTCGAATAACTATGGCCCCATTTGTTTCTCATTTTCGGAAGAATGAGAATGAAAAACATAGTCATTACGCGCCCCACATAAGAAATAAAAATTCAAATTTGGTGGCTTGATGTGATGGATAACGGTCATATTTTTCATTTTAATGAAGAAAGAATGAGAATCAAACGGGGCCTATATTAGGGTTAAATGATCATTTGTCCTTCTAATTATTACAGCACTTGCAGTTCACATAGTCTTTAACAACTTATTCATTTGTGAAACGATCATGAAATTAATGATTCAAGCGTTCCCAAATGATGAGCTCATAGTTAAACTATTCTTTAAAGAAAATACTCGAGCGGATTCATTTACCTATCAAACAAAGTGAATTTTCCGAATGTAAAAATTTGTTTACTACATCGATTCCTATTAACTCCCAACACTCGACATGGAGATAGTAACTAAATAATCTCACTCATTGGTGTATCAAAGAACTTCAAATTTACGAATGACAACCATTAATGTGTAGTGAATTTAGATAATACATAAGACAATCACGTGTGATTAATTTATGCAGGAAATGATTAATTTCTTAGCACTCTCCTGCTATAAATTAATCAACACTCTACGTTGTTCAATCCAATATACTTTCAAGTGTATAATTGTCATTACTTCCTAGCAGACAATCACAATTGTCAAGATAAATTGAGTACTTAATTGGTATAATAACCAACGCTTCAACCCAAATAGTGTGTCAATCTTCATTAGCCGCTCTAGGACAGAGTTATATCTTTTGTACTTCTCTATGCAAATACATAATTCATATCATAAAAAAGTGATCTAAGGCCCATATCCGTTAGAGCTTAATAGGCTTTGATACCATGTTAAAATTTGAAATTCCATATTAAAATGTCAACCTTGTTAAGAAGAGTAGCATAAACCTCTATAAATTGGTCTATGTTTTTATCTTTATCTGATGTGAGATTATATCCGTTAATATTATCTTTCAAAATAAGTAGCAATAATGGACAAAACGATCAGTGCTTTACATAACACTAGAGGTACACCATAATTATCAAGAAAAGTATCATAGAATTCCTCTAAAGCAACACTCACAATTTATCAAAAGAATTCATCCAAAGCAACGATAACAATTTATCAAAAGAACAACTATCTTAAGATAAATATCTTAGAATATTAAAAAACAACGAAGAAAAGATCTCACAAAATTTGCTACTGTTCAAATAACGATTCCTCCCAAATGAACTGTTTTATTTTGATTTAACCAGAAATGAAACAATAGGCTGCGAAAATTGAATCTCGGAGCATTGTCATGAGCTAAGCTAATTTATGAAACAATGCATCATGCTAGCCTAATTGTCACTGCCTGTACAAAAAGGGATATCAACTATGACACTAAACAGAACTAGTCAAACTAATAATTCACAAATGTAATATAAAAGGATTCCGTTGTTTGTACAGAAAAATCTGCCAAAAGCAATGACCGAAATTGATGTGGAGGAAAATAATTGGATGAAAAACCCGACTGTGTTTTAAACTAATAAATTATAGAGTGTCATGTGGCATTATATAAAACATTATATAAATCATGATGTACATAGAACATTTCCCAACATAAAATATAACTAGGGATACATTGATTTATACATTACTGTGAGATGAAAAGGCATAATCACATATTTATTTTCTTTTGTTATCTTAATTAAGGCATTAAATTATACACTAATGTGATTCCCATGTTTATCACCAATGGATTTTTATAAAGAAATTAAAAAAAATCACTCAAAATGAAAGGAATATATGTCAATCTAACCCCAAAAGTATACTAAACAAACTGAATAATATACCGTTTCTTATATATTCCAAAACCTTTTTCTCTTGATTTTTGTTCATTAAAAATGCTCTATGATCCAAATAAATTGAAAAGCTGTAACTATCAGCAACCACTACTTTTCCATGTAGTGGGGTGGGGTCAGGGCATCTCAATTTATTTAAATGATCTCTTAGGCTATGTTTGATAGCCAACTTTTCCATGAAAAATGGAAAACAAATTTCAATCTGTTTAATTGACAAAGTTTTATAGAGAATTGATTTTCCTACTTTGGCCCCATGTCAGCATTTTCTTGATTTTCATGGCTTTTCTTGGTTTTCCATGTTTTCTTTTT